CTTTTGCACAGGTTGTGTGACATATCACTAGTTGAGTGGCCTCTTCGCCATGTCCACCACTCGATTCAGCATGATCAACTTGGACAGTATTGTCCGTGGGAGCGACAGGGTCCTTGGGCAGATATAGCTAGTCCCTAGGGATCCAAGTACCTTGTCAGAAGATGATTGGAGACACTATGTAGGTTTGGAGGGTCCAAGCATGTGGGAAGGTACTTAGATCCCTACAAAGTGCACAACAGACAAATGTCACCAGTCAAGTGGCCTCTATGTCATGTCCAGAACTCGGGTCATCGTGACCAACTGGAGCAATCTCCATGGGAGCCACAGGGTCCTTGGGCAGATGACTTGCACAAAATATTATTTTCACTGTTTTAAAGTCACAAGCTCAAAAGCAATACACAGCAATACGTGCATACACAACACCAAAAGTGAAATTGAGCTTCGTCATTCATCGTTTCTTCTTTGATCATACGGTCACTTGCAGGTGACTCGTCAACCAAGTTCACATGCGTGATGATCGGCTCATCATCATAATCAACATCCAGCAAACGCACACACTCGTCGTCCTGCGTGGTGGCAGGTGCACTAGTGTTGCTCTAGTCTAGTACTGCTGGCATGTGTTAATCTAAAATATGTATTGCATGATCACGGTTGAACTTTGTGGCCATTGCCACCTCCACTGCAGGCAGTGTAGCAGACTGTGTATCATCTTCAACTGCCATAGCACCCACCTGCCAACTAACAGGATTGGAAATATAAATGAAAAAGACTAGCTAGCAGCTAGCAAGAATACTATATCAGTCAAGCAGGAAACCAAAAATACATATGTCTTAAGCACCTTCTCTGCTTTGATGGCACGAAAGCTGGTGACAATGCTCTTCAGCACTTGAACTCTTTCGTTCCTTCAGGGTTCCAAAAAAAAACACAAAGAACAATCGATACAATGAACTTTTCACATATTGATGTAAAGGAGTATTCATATCACACCTGGATTCAGCTGTCCGGTTGGTGAGATCTCGCAAGTATGTCAAGAGCTTTCTCAAGCGCTGAGCCTCACAATTTGCCCATTCCTCGGTGAAATGTCAGGGTGCTGGCCTATGAGGCTTCATCCAAAGTAAGTTGAACCAAGCGATATACAGCTAATGCATGGTCATGCCTGTTAGCATAATTTTATTGTCAAGCATCCCGGATCTTGCCCTTCCCTCCGCGTCGAAGATGCAAATCCACATGAAAGTTGCTGCGAAGGGATAGTAGCAGCAAAGCCCCCTGAACAGATGTAGTTAAAACTGGTCAATGCCATATCTGAAGAAAAAACACACACACAGTTTGTTTTAAAAAAAAAGTGTCTAATTAACTACATGATATGTGTAAAAGACATCAACCCGCCTCAAACTCTGCCAAAATTGGAATTTCGTGTGTTGCATCATCTTGCAAGTACAACTCAAAGCATACGTAACACATGTCTTTCACCAAAGAGAAGTTGACCGCCAAATCATTTTCAGTAATGATTGCCCGAAGACGCTCTTCAAACTGAACCAGCTGTCGATCTGGAGTACTCATGATCACTGGTCCCCTCATGGCACAATGCTGCTGCAAGGATTCAAAAAGCTGTAGGCCAATAGCCTAAGCCATCAAGATGGTTGAAACTCAAGACAACCTGTTTGCGAAATAGGATAGGATTGACACAATTGCTATATTCCAAAGGCAAGGAACACTAACCTTGAAACGCATGGGTTTGGTCACATGGAGATCCTGCCCCACCATGTGCTCTTCGATCACTGACCCCTTCTGCGGCATTGCCCCGGCCAAGGTTGCAAGAGGATGGAACTTGCTGAGCCAAACTTGAAGCACTTGAAAAGGGATGGCCAGCTGATGCGGTGGTTGGTCATGATGGTGTACACTGATCCCAGAAAAGGCTAAGAACACAAAACCTGCGTCGTGGCCCGCGCGATGCGACGACAAAACCGAGAAAACTGAGAAAACCAGAAAACCGAGAAAACCGTTTTCGCGTTTTCCCGTGTGGAAGCTTTTTCCAGTTTGCTTACGTCTTCTTGCTTGTCTTGCCTTTGAGCGTGAAAACCACAACCAAGAAAACCGGCAAAACGAGAAAACCAAGAAAACGGTTTTCGTCGTTCTCGCCGTTTTCCCGTTTTAGCCGTTTTCGCCGTTTTCGCGTTTTCGCCATTTTCGCCGTTTTCGCGTTTTCGCCGTTTTCGCCGTTTTCGCGTTTTCGCCGTTTTCGCGTTTTCGCCGTTTTCGCGTTTTCGCCGTTTTCGCCGCTTTCGTCGCTTTCGCCGTTTTCGCCCGTTTGCGCTTTTTTTTCGTTTTCGCCATTTTCGTAGTTTTCGCCGTTTGTGTCGGCTTCGCGCAGTCGTTGTTTTCTTGGTCTTCGCCACTTTCGAGGGTTTTCACTTATGCTCCTTAGTTGTGCACTAAATCTCAACGGTTGAAGTTTAAGTTCAATTCACGAATCTTAGTCAGTGAACCAGAATGATCTTAATCTCCAATCCAAAAGGAATATCACCTCATCACAGGCACTACGCATGAACGACCAGATAACGTGACCAAGTCTATCCAGAGGGTACCCAGGGATGAAAGAAAAACAAGAATCAGACGACGTCCATTCCTCTCCATCAAACTGAAGAGCCGTGGTATGCCTCATGGCTCTCCTTGCGCGGAATCGACGAGCTCTTGCGACGCAAGGACAGATTGGAAACCAAGGGCTTGCGATGGACTCTAAGTTAGTTCGTGCGCGAAATGCAGGCGCGAGTGCGATTTGACCTGGTCCGGGACAACCCTCTGCGGAGATCGTGCGTGTCGAATGCGCGAAATGCAGGCGAGAGTGCGATTTGTCCCAGTCCGGGACAACCCTCTGCGGAGATCGTGCGTGTCGAGTGCGCGAAATGCAGGTGAGAGTGCGATTTGTGTTTGTCCGGCGCAACCCTCTGCAGGACTGTGGACTTTGTAGTACAACTTCAGTGCGCGGAGCAATCTGTGGAGCTGAGAACTGGCGACTTTCGAGTAGAACTTCAGTACGCGGAGTATCGCAGGAGCTGGAAGCTGAGAGCTGGAAGATGCGAACTGGCGACTTTGTATTTCCTTTTTTTTTGGTACGCGGAGCAATCTGTGGAGTCTTAAGCTGAGAACTGGCGACATTGTAGTACAACTTTAGTACGCGGAGTATCTGGGGAGCTGGAAAATGAGAACTGGCGACTTTGTAGTGCAACTTTAGTACGCGGAGTATCTGGGGAGCTAGAAGATGAGAACTGGCGACTTTGTAGTACAACTTTAGTACGCGGAGCAAGCTGTGACGCGGAGTCTGGAAGCTGAGAACTGGCGACTTTGTAGTACAACTTTAGTACGCGGATGAGTCATCTCTCGCGGCTGAGTCATCTCTGGCGCCACCCGGCTCTCTTGAGAGGTTGACAAATTTTAGCTACTTTGCTTACTCATAAGTGGCTGCCACAAAAGAGTCATCGTGACGTTAGTATGTGTGTACTTCACACCTTCATGACAAACGATGTTCGCTTGGAATACACGAGTCGCTTGTCATGAGCGTCACGTCGTTTACTCTCAGGTCGCCCTGCTCGTGGAAACTTCAGTGTGAAATGTACGTTCTTCAGTTCTATTTGAACCTCTTCAGCATTGTACTTGCACAGCTAAGGTTGACGTTGCGCAGCCGTTGCATCGACGCATCTACGTCATACACCCCCTCACCTCTCTACATATACACCGTCACACGCTCACATCCGCAGATCTACCTCTCCACCGCACCACACCCACACATCTGCACATCTATATCACATCTGTACATCCACACTGTCGCTCCTTCACATCTGTCCCGTCTTTCTTTCTTTCTTTCTACATATCTTTTCTCTCGTCTCTGTGCATTTACATCTTTGCACGCTCACATCCACAGATCTACCTCCACCTCCATACATCTACAGAATCTATATTGCACCTGCGCATCCACACTATCACTCCTTCACATCCACCCTCTCTTTCTCTCTTTCTATACATCTTTTCGACAGTGCTGGACAATTACATGTCTCGCTCTCGGGCCAACCGTCGTCTAGTTCTCAGTTTAATAACGTTTTCAACACTCTCCTTTTTGCGTGCTACTGAGGCTTATTATCAAAGGAACAAAGTCCTATTCTGCAACTCTCCATTCTTCTGAAACTGGTCTTTTGCAAATACTTGGCACTCTTCCCCAACTACTCGCCGTTTTCGCCGTTTTCGCGTTTTCGCCGTTTTCGCGTTTTCGCCGTTTTCGCGCCGATGCGGTGTTCTAGAAAACCGTGAGCTGTGTCAAATCCAAGCACTTTGTTTCCGCCGTTTTCGCGTTTTCGCGGTTTTCGCGTTTTCGCGTGGCCTGCCCCCGCATCACCGGGGGCCGAGACACACGTTTCGTATGCACAGTAGGAGGGTGGGTGCCCATGTGGGTTGTTCTTACATGCTGGGTGATAATATACCAGGGATCCAAATATATATATATATATGCTATATCCAAAGTCCATGTCAGAGTTTTAAATGCTCAATGCCACATCCGATCAATGAGTGGCCATTCAACTCCCTCCAATTCCCTAGCTCTGACACTGAAGCAGCTGTGGCTGGAGATCGGATGGGCGCACCTTTCAATGCATGGAGCCGCAGCAGGCCCATCTCCCATGCAAGTTGAACCCGCAAGTAGTAGATTCTTTTGTGTTGGCCTCCAAAGATATTGAATTCTATTCTGAGTGATCCAAACCTCAATGTGGCACATGATGTGCTGTTTGGGTTTTGCCACGTTTTTGAAACTATTGTGCTCAGATGTGGGAGCCACCAGGCCTGCAGTGGCCGAGACCAAGATGCAATACCAAAAACAGCTGCTTCTCCCATTCCATCAAATCCACCAACTCTGCGGTTTTTAGAAGTTCTATGCTTCTAGGCCCCAGGATTGCCCCAGCACGGTCTTGGACATGTGGGATGTCCCGCGTCCATTCTGAGAGAACTTTTGGCCGTGTATAGCCTCACAGACCACACATCGAAGTACCTTCTCAGCATGTACTTGGATCGCTAGGGACTAGTAATGCCCTTGTTCCTAGTAGCAATGCCCGTGATACTAGTAGCTTCTTGTTACAAGTTGTTTCGGGAGCAGTTTGGCGTTTGGCACTTACTCCAGGACAAGTTGGTGCTGGATGTTGGAGCCGGCAGCGGAATTCTCAGCATGCTTCTCGCTTCGGTGTGTACACGTCACCCCGCAAGACCTCCTTTTTTTGCCCGCCCTTGATTAAGCAGGTGCCCACTTAATTAAGTAAGGGCTAAGGCTAAACAGCCAAACAAACTACTAGGTAAGCTGCTACTAGCTAGGACGCAGGATAGCTCACGCTATTCATTTGGCTACAAGGATTATATTGGTGCCAGAAATCTCCGGAGGTATATATTGGCATGCAGTGTGGAGATGCGCGTGTTTCTTTTATGAACACACGGGGAAGGCATGTGGTGGAGTGTGGTGATGTGTAGTGTTGTGACATGTAGGCATCAATAGGCATCAATTATTTGTGGTGACCCAATTGTCATGAGATGTTTTGGATGACTGAGCCAGGGTGTTTTGCGGTGCTGGGCTGAATGGCATTGAATGGCATTATAGCTTGTGATGCGTTGTGACCCGCGTCCATGTTTGCAGAAATGTGCTTTGTCATGACTTATGGTGTGTGAGTGAGTTCTTGCGATTTGTCACAATAGGTTGGTGATCAGTGGTGATTGGGGGCGTCGCTAGCTGTTCTTTGTGGTGAAGCCAGAGGGCCATGCTCAACGCCCCACGGGGCCCACGGGGCCCACCCTGGCCCATGGCGCAGGCACCCTTGCTTTGCAGGATGGTGCTGTGCCACTAATGAGCGGTAGGAGTGGCGCCGGAAGGGAGGTACCAGCAGTGGCAGTAGTCGCCGTCGTCGTCATGGTTGCAGTAGCAGCAGCCCAAGCAATAGCAATACAGTAGTAATTGCGCTTGTTGTTGTTGTTGCTGTTGTCGTCATTGCGGTAGTTTTTTGTTGCTTATGTTTGTTTAAATAATCAGTTTGCTTTTGTTTATTGGTGTTGCTCTGGCAAAGTCAGGCACAATCATCAGTGTATGTTGGGTTTGTCTTATTGCCTGTTTCAGATAGATAGGCCTTTACAAACCATCATCATCTACTTCTACTGGCAATAGGATAGGCCCAAAGTATATACAACATACAGATACATACAGTATATTTATACACACAGTATATATATATATATATCTATGTACATGCACAAATGCATATGGCAGTTGACCCTGCAAAATACGCATGCACCACATGCAGACCTGAAAACACACATTGTTGGATTTGGCTGAAGGCTTTGCGCCAAGCATGGCTTGGCAAAGCATGTTTGGGCTGTAGAGGCAGTCCCTGGGATGGCTCGGATGGCGCAGCAGTTGGTGCAACAAAAACGGCAAGCAGAGGTGTCGATGTATCAAGCAATATATTATGTGCATATATTTTTTGCATTTGCAAACAGTGCATGTAGTCAAAACATGATTTTTGTTTAAACAATTATGCACTCTACATCTATCGTACCATATCATGCATATATATATATATAAGCTATTAATTAATACGTTTAACAAAAATCACAGAGACGGACATTTAGTGAGAGACGTTCCTTGCTTCGCACAGGGTTCCAAGAGTGCTAAGCCCAAGCCCAGGCAGGCGAATGGATTGCAGGACAAGGCTGTTGGGTGTGTGCTGCAGCACAGTTGCTCATGACAACCTGCCACAATCAATAGTTCATGAATTTGAATCAACAAGTATTCAACTATTTCCACCTGCCACAGGGGAGGCAGCACTGCTTTGGAAGAATTGGAAGAATGACTAGATGATTCAAGTGTCTCAGAGGGAGGCGGTGCTGGCCTGCGACCACAGCCCTGTGCAGGTGACAATTCTCACAGGCCGAGTAGAGGATATCACATTACCAAATAAGATGGTAGCTTGGCTTCAAACCAGGGGAACGGAATGTGTTTGGTTTCGCAGGGATTTGTTGGGTTCCAGCTCTCTTTTCACTATTCAGAGTGATTGTTTGGCCCTGTTCTTTGTGTTGTTTGGAATTGGGGGGTTGTAGTTCTATGGTTGAATCCTCTCCAAGTTCCGTCCCGTGTTGTGTGAGACGTCATGTTTGCCTCCAACATCAGCAGTCACATGCCTTTCAGAGCGTGCGAAGCCGCCCCCCCACGCAATTGGAGCGGATAGTATATGTAGGCTCTTAGAGCATGCCTTTCAGAGTCCAGAGAATGTGCAAGTTTGAGCATACTCTTGCAAGCCAGTCCTTCTGAGAAAGGGCTATTTTCTCATGTGGATATGCCACAGTCCTGCTCCAGCAGTGGTTCACAAGGTGATAAAGGTGACAGGAGCACTCAATCTGCGTCAAGACCTGTTTTTCTACGGGCTTAAGTGCGCAATCTGTGTATCAACATATCGTTTGGTTGCCAAAATGTTATTAGGTAGGTCACACAGACCGAGCCCATCGAAATGGGGCAATACAAGCAATCGCTCAACACCAGTTCAAACTCAAGAAACAACCTCCAAACTCCTACACCACATGTCAAACATCCACACAAAGATCTAACACGCGCTAAAATTTACTCTCAGAGCCGCCCTTCTACCATTGTTTCCCCGAAACCTGAGGACATCATCATTTCGGAATGGATGGGTTTCTATTTGCTTCACGAATCAATGCTGGAATCCGTGCTGATTGCCCGAGACCGCTTTCTTCGAGCACAGGCACTTCTTGAATATCTCAGCTGGCCAGTGGCGTAAAGCAGCAGTGAATCACAGTTAGACGTGCTTGATTTTTTCAGAAATAGGTCCATGCAGCCATGTTTCGCATGGACCAGTGCGTTGGGTGCCTCCTTTGCAGGGACGGATGCTTCCCTGCTCTGCAAGAATTTGGGCAGCACTCGTCGAGGCAGAAGATTTGCGGCTGGATATGGTGCGGGCACTCAGCATAAGGTATTGAATTGGCCTGCTCACTGGGTCCCAATCCAGATTGCACAATATCGTACATACAGATTGTACGCGGACACGAAGTGGCTGACACGAAGAGTGGCTGAGTGGCTGACAGGAACAAAATCCTGAGTGGTTGAGTGGCTGACAGGAAGAAAAGCCTGAGTGGCTGACAGGAAGAAAAGTCTGAGTGGCTGAGTGGCTGAGCGGCAATCGTCGTAGTAGAAGTAGTATTGGTAGTAGCTAACCCTTACTTGTAGAGTTGGACAGCTGTTCTATTGGAGTCAGAGCCGACGCAAAGACTGAAGTGTGTCTCCTTTGGCTAAAGCACCCTCTTGCCCTAACAGAGATTTATATATATACACAAATGTTTGCCCCTACTTCCGACCCAATGCGTGCAAAAGCGGGAGGTAAACTTTACCCGCCAGATTTGCCATAACAATAAACCAGCTATTTCATCAAGACACTCTGTTCCCCTTTTATACTTTTTTCGAAGACTTATCTTGCACTACGGGGGGCCTGGTGCATTTACATTCCTTGTGATGCCAGAAATGCTTACCCCTATCTCCACCCAATGCATACAAAAGCGGGAGTAAATTTACCCCTCAGATTTGCCATAACAATAAACCAACTATTTCATCAATGCACTCTATTCCTTATATGCTCGTGCCCAAGTATGCGAGTTTTTGCTAACATATCCAGGTGGATGTTAGGATGTAGGGATGTTCCAGGCACTGCGCACGTGACTCCCGCGTGAGGGCTCCATAGCTCTATGTTTGCGCTTGTGCTTTGCAGCCAAAGCCTTGCCGATCCTCATTGTGCAAAAGAGCTGCTGACAACTGTTACTCTACATCCCAAGAACAATAGGCCCCATGCTCCAAGGAGCAATCAGCGTATGCACATCGCCATCATTAGTGTGCTGCAGCTCGCTTGCCGACTGATTTCACGCCCACTGCGAATGGTAGTGGAACAGCAGCAGGATCCGTTTCAGAAACGGAGGATTTCCACGGTCAATTCTGTTTTTAATATTGTACCTTGCACCTCTAAACCAGGCTGGGTGCCATGGAAATCCGGCTCGAACCCTGTGGGTACACGAGCTCAACGATTGCTGCACGGAAACAAACACCCCTGGCCTCAAGTACTCCTTCTACTACTGCTACTGCTGTGGCAATTGCCACTGCTGCTGCTGCTACTACTACTACCACCGCCACCACCACCACCACTACCTACTACCCACTACCTACTACTACTACTACTACTCCTGCTACTACTACTACTACTACTATTACTACTACTACTACTAGACACCAGCCACTCAGCTGCTCAGGCTTTTCTTCCTGTCAGCCACTCAGCCACTCAGGTTTTTCTTCCAATCAGCCACTCGACCACTCAGACTTTTCTTCTTTTCAGCGACTCAGCCACTCAGGCTTTTCTTCCAATCAGCCACTCAACCACTCACACTTTTCTTCCTGTCAAGGCTTCTCTTCCTCTCAGGCACTCAGGCACTCAGACAATTCTTCTTGTCAGCCACTCAGCCACTCAACCACTCAGCATGTTGTTCCTGTCAGCCACTCAGGCTTTCTTCCTGTCAGCCACTCAGCCACTCAGGATCTTGAGTGGCTGAGTGGCCGGCCAGGATCTTGAGTGGCCGAGTGGCCGCCGCGAACCGCGACCCGGATTGCACATACTCTCTACAGACATACGAATAAAAATGCGCATGCTAATGGCAAAAAAGACAAAAAGGCTTGCCTTTTAGGTCATGTCCTAAGGACCACCATCTGAAGCATGTTGTCCCTACATTTTCTAGACAGTTCCAACATTTCTAGAGATCATGATGGGACGTGATGGTTTAATTTTATATTTATATAACTTGAAGCCCTAGAAGCGAAGTTCAAGAAACATTTATATTAATATATATATATATATGTATCAATGAAATGTATATTTAAAGAAGGACATGCACACATCTCGTTCTACATGTGGCTGGGTTTAGGTCTGGGCAGCTGGTGGGTGATTGAGCTGAAGCTGGGGATGGGGGCTTCCTCCGTTAGTTCATAAATTTGTGCAAGTTTGGTAATTACAATTTGTTTGAATAAATCTTTGCCTCGGCACTTGCACTGCCCCTATTCAGTTGAGAACACCAGGTGCCCGGACTTGACCAAGTTGTGTGTACGAATATGTGTAGATAAACAAATTATCATGTATTGAACAGCCACAGAGTCCGTTTGAAGGGTGCGTTTCAGACCGACGGACCGACTTAAATCATCAGAATAAACGTGCAGCGTTTACTACCAAAGATCGAAAGTTGTCCACATGCCACATGGAAATGATCTAGGATGCAATACCTCTCTATAAAATGAAAAGAGGGTCACTGCTAACTACGTTGCTTTTATAGAGAAACCTTCCTTGCGTATGATTTTAATAGAGCATGTTGGTTTTATAGATAATCATTAGTGATGGTAGATACGAGTGACTTTATAGCAAACAATGTGGCAGATGTTTAAGTGAATATCCTGAAGATTGCCTCAAAGAAAAATATAAATAGAACATAGAGAAAGAACACACATCTAAATTCATGACGGGGAATGAGGTTAAGAACTATAAAAATAACGAAAAATATTTTAGACCATCAGATAATGTGAAGCGTGCCAGTGCCAACACAAAGTGTTTTTCTTTGGAATCATGTGGTCTATTCGCCAGCTTATTCCATAAATGTGTTCAATGTCAGATCCCCCCAGAAAAGCAAGGTGGTTGCAGTTGAGCAGCCCCTCCTGATTCCAGATATAAGTTTATAGGCAAGAATTGGGAAGTACATGAAAGTACTATGTATATATATATATAGATGATTTTGTCGGTTGGATATTGTGAAAATATGTCGTCAAATTCATTTAATCCCAGCATAGACCCCAAACAATGTCAAAACGATTCGTTTGGACCAATGTTAGTCAAAAACGATTTCTTGGTAATTACTATGTGGGACCAACAGTTAGAATATGCAACCCTTGATGTTTCCTTAGGTAATTAAGGACATCTTCGAGTAGTAGGGTTTTCGACCCTAGAGGATTTTGACTTGGAGTTAGAATATGAACATGCAGTTAGAATATGGCGCAATGATGTTGGAAAGCATTTGAAGGTGATTGACGCTGCACCATCAAGCTCCAGACTTCGGCGAAGCGATGCTCACATTTGTTAACATATAGATATTCGATCTGCACCAAAACACCAGAGGTGTTATGAGAATTCATTTGTGTAGCAAAAGGTGGCTTGAAGGTCGTACAGCTGAATCGTGCGATCGAATTCACTATCACAAAAACAATATCTGATGTTATCGTTAATGATAATCAGTATTGATTTTCTGAGATCTCCATATTCTAATTGCAGGAAAGTCCCACAGGTGTTGCAAAAATATATGGAATTTATGACTTGATACGAACAGCCTATGACTTGAAACTTGTGCAGGAGGCAGCGTCAGTTTCTTGACTAGATATCAAACGCCATATTCTAACTGCATTGGCAACCATGTGTTTTCTTTATAATGGTGAGAAGCGATTGGTTCAACGTTTTTGACTTACTGTGAGATAAGAAACTATTGCAGAATAGAATATCAAACTGTACTGTAACCACCATGAATAGCATCAAAGAAACCATGTGATTTGAACCTGAGAACTAGCAATGGCCTCCCAATGGCTACTAACAATGGCCTCCACCCTACTAGCAATGGCCTCCACCCTTCTTGCAATGGCCTCCACCCTTCTGCCAATGGTCCCCACCCTACTACCCTAGCAATGGCCTCCCAATGGCTTCTAGCAATGGCCTCCACCCTACTAGCAATGGCCTCCACCCTAGTAGCAATGGCCTCCAGCCTACTAGCAATGGCCTCCACCCTACTAGCTGGCCTCCCAATGGCTTCTAGGAATGGCGGCCTCCCAATGGCTACTAGCAATGGCCTGCGCAGCAATGGCTTCTAGCAATGGCCTCCACCCTACTAGCAATGGCCTCCACCCTACTAGCAATGGCATCCACCCTACTAGCAATGGCCTCCACTCCACCCTACTACCAATGGCTTCTAGCAATGGCCTCCACCCTACTAGCAATGGCCTCCCAATGGCTACTGCTCGCAATGGACATCTTCAAGTAGTAGGGTTTTCTAGCCTAAAGGATTTTGACATGGAGTTAGAATATGAACATGCAGTTAGAATATGGCGCAATGATGTTGGAAAGCATTTAAAGGTGATTGGCGCCGCACCATCAAGCTCCAGACTTCGGCGAAGCGATGCTCACATTTGTTAACATATAGATATTCTGTCTGCACCAAAACACCAGAGGTGTTATGAGAATTCATTTGTGTAGCAAAAGGTGGCTTGAAGGTCATACAGCTGAATCGTGCGATCGAATTCACTATCACAAAAACAATATCCGATGTTATCGTTAATGATAATCCGTATTGATTTTCTGAGATCTCCATATTCTAATTGCAGGAAAGTCCCACAGGTGTTGCAAAATTATGGAATTTATGACTTGATACGAACAGCCTATGACTTGAAACTTGTGCAGGAGGCAGCGTCAGTTTCTTGACTAGATATCAAACGCCATATTCTAACTGCATTGGCAACCATGTGTTTTCTCTATAATTGTGAAAAGCGATTGGTTCAACATTTTTGACTTACTGTGAGATAAGAAACTATTGCAGAATAGAATATCAAACTGTACTGTAACCACCATGAATAGCATCAAAGAATCCATGCGATTTGAACCTGAGAACTAGCAATGGCCTCCCAATGGCTTCTAACAATGGCCTCCACCCTACTAGCAATGGCCTCCACCCTTCTGGCTTCTAGCAATGGCCTCCACCCTACTAGCAATGGCCTCCCAATGGCTACTGGCAATGGCCTCCACCCTACTCGCAATGGACATCTTCAAGTAGTAGGGTTTTCTAGCCTAAAGGATTTTGACATGGAGTTAGAATATGAACATGCAGTTAGAATATGGCGCAATGATGTTGGAAAGCATTTGAAGGTGATTGGCGCTGCACCATCAAGCTCCAGACTTCGGCGAAGCGGTGCTCACATTTGTTAACATATAGATATTCTATCTGCGCCAAAACACCAGAGGTGTTATGAGAATTCATTTGTGTAGCAAAAGGTGGCTTGAAGGTCATAGAGCTGAATCGTGCGATCGAATTCACTATCACAAAAACAATGTCTGATGTTATCGTTAATGATAATCAGTATTGATTTTCTGAGATCTCCATATTCTAATTGCAGGAAAGTCCCACAGGTGTTGCAAAATTATGGAATTTATGACTTGATACGAACAGCCTATGACTTGAAACTTGTGCAGGAGGCAGCGTCAGTTTCTTGACTAGAGATCAAACGCCATATTCTAACTGCATTGGCAACCATGTGTTTTCTTTATAATTGTGAAAAGCGATTGGTTCAACATATTTGACTTACTGTGAGATAAGATATTGGCCTCCCAATGGCTTCTAGGAATGGCCTCCACCCCAATGGCCGCCATCCTACTGGCTCCCACCCCACCCTACTAGCAATGGCCTCCACTCCACCCTACTACCAATGGCTTCCCAATGGCTTCTAGCAATGGCCTCCACCCTACTAGCAATGGCCACCACGCTACTAGCAATGGCTTGCCAATGGCATCTAGCAATGGCCTCCACCCTACTAGCAATTGTCTCCACCCTCCTAGCAATTGCAAGCAATGGCCTCCAGCCTACTAGCAATGGCCTCTAAATGGCTACTAGCAATGGCCTCCGGCCTCCACCCCATTCGCAATGGCCTCTAGATGGCTACTAGCAATGGCCTCCACCCTACTAGCAATGGCTTCTCAATGACTACTAGCAATGGCCTCCGGCCTCCACCAATGGCCTCCCAATGGCTACTAGCAATGGCATCGACCCTACTAGCAATGGCCTCTAAATGGCTACCAGCCTACTAGCACTCCAACCTACTAGCAATGGCCTCTATATGGCTACTACATGTAATATATTTATATATATCTTCCATATTCTATCTCTCACCCTGGAATTTCCATATTCTATCTGCTTTTTTGGGCCTTAGGGTTTTAGGCTAAAACTATGTTCTAACTGTACCCTAGACTTTTTTTAGATTCTATCTGTCTGTCCATCACTGTACGCCCTATGCCTTTCCCCCCAAGAGCAAACTGCTTCATCAATGATTTTTGTCGGCATCGACATCGCCATTTGTTCGGCCACACTCCTCTCTAGCTGTTGATCATGTTCATGAAACAAATTGAAAATGGCCAATGCGTCTCACGGGCACATTATCGGGCGGCTGCCCGCCCAAACAGTTATATATTTGATGCTGAATGTGGTGTCAGGACGGTGAATTTCATAGACATCACGCCCTCTTCATGCCAGTTAACTTGATGGTATCAAACCGCGTCGATTTATAAGAAATTTGCGGGTCAACGCATTCATTTTATAGAGCTAGCTCATTTTATGAACACATTGGCGGTCACGCCACGCCGTTTTATATCTATAAAGTCTCAAGCAGGACCCCCTACTCCATTTTGCATCATCGATTGGAAATGTGTTTTTTGGATTTTTTTGGTGGGGAGTATTGACGGATTTTCATATTATAGCTCCAAAATCTACGTCCTACATCAACGAAAAGGAACACACGAATGATAAAACAACGGATTAAACAATACATCCGCCATCATTCTGCAGCAAACAAAAGGTATATCTAAATTTATGGCCCCCGGGCTTAGCAGAGTAACCTTGAATAAACATATATGACTGAACTCGTATAATTGTGTGCCTTTTTGTGCGCGGACAGACCGTATTCACTGTTATGGCAGGTTCGGCCTGAAGCCGGTCCAACGTTACGCAACGTTGTTTGTGTGGTGGTTGTGCGGGTCACAAGGTCGCACAGATCCTTGGTCGAATGTTGCTAGTAGCTTCTTGTTCCTACCAGTAGTAAGGCCAGGAACTACTAGTAGTGTCCTTGCTCCTAGTAAGTAGCGATGCCCTTTGCTCCTAGTAGCGTCCTTTGACGCAAAAGGTGGTATGCCCTTGGGAAGTCTTTTAGGGTCGCCGAATGGCCTTATTCTTATGGTGCAATACGGCGTGGTCGTCAGTCAAGATCCTGCCATAGATCGAGTATCGACAGCAGTTAGGAACATGGAGAGTCGAGACATGTCTGAAAAAATCCATTGTTTGCTTATTGTTTACACTTCCAAATGGCACCTACGCATGGTATTTTTTGCGCACGTGAGGCCAACTATGAAGACTTTTTGGGCCTTGACCTTCGGCTGGTTGGGGAGCAGCAGTTGGCTGCGCGAACTGCAGAGCCGCGAGTTGAAGAAGTTCACGGAAGGCACAGGAAGTCGAAAGCACAGGCTTTGATTGGGTCGATATTCACCGTAGAGAGAGAAAACCCCATGAACACTTGAATGGAACAGCAGTGTTGAGATGGGTCGGTACATGCAGGACGTTTATAGCGCACTGGATAGTTAGGATTCAAAGTGTTTTGCATCAACAGATGTGTGTCATGAGTCATGCCAGGTACATGTCCGGGACACTGATTTGATGCTGAGATGGTAGCTTGCTACTTCTTTCGGGGGTCAGTCAAACCATCACGGCTCCAGACACCGTGGCAAGGCGGATTTTAGCCGAACCACTGGTGGCGGTGGATTTGACCGACCTCCATCAGCTGCGAGTAGAGGGAACTCGTAATTTGGAGGAGCGCGGTTGGAGTTGGGCGTTAGGGGAGAGCTGAGGCAGGTGAGGTCCAACCAGGTTCCTGTGCTTCGAAGCGTCGGGATTAACTTTCCTTGTGTTCCAAGCCTGCAAGCTGCTTTGTACCTACTCCACTTAAAAACTGCAATTCAACTGCTTGGGCCGTTGGGCTTGACGGATGACTATGACTTCTTGTGTTTGAGGTCAAGGCCACGTTTGCGCCAGTTTTTTGCAGCCTCCACACTGGACCTTTGAAGTTGAGTAGTGTCTCTTCGTCCCACTGATTTCCACAAGGAAAAAGCCCGTTTGGTTTCCTAGTGCTTTCCCACTGGTTTCTACCTTTCTCAGATGCTGTGAGGCACAGCTGTCCTTTCGCACATGGCGCCAGGGCTATGCTGCGGGCATTGCCTTTTGGTTTGACGTTGGCTTTGGTGACTTGGACTTCCTAGTGGCATGCCGTATTGTTTTTTTTTCCATGAGCTTACCTTGCATTTGCATGTTGGTGAAGCCTACTGTTTCTGCAGCCTATCCAGAGAGCGTATAATGGTTCGGCCTGCGTTGCACCACCGGCTCCCGATCTGGCCAATTCACACTCGTATGACTCATGTATGATTCAACCGGGCATTGAATGCATTGGTCATAAACCCAGGGTCTTAGCCATCCAAGACTCACACCAAGCGGGTCCACGCTTCGCAAAGATGGATGAATTACCTCGTTTGGGTCAACTAGCAAAAATGTTCCAGACATGTTTTGCTTGCAGCACATGCCAGAGTCCGCCTGTCGAGGTCGTGATGTGATTTTGAAGACAGATCCCGGGTCACCGCCAACCCATTGGAAGCAAACGGTTTCTTGGCTGGGTGTTGGTCAAAGAAGCTGATCAGTTTAGCTGAGTTGTTACATGTAGAACCACATGCACGCTATACAGGATTGCAATTTGACTCCTAACAGCCCAACATTGCCCTGCCAGTGTTTGGCTCTGCCAACATGAGGGTTGTCGAACAGAGCCCTGAGCTTTGCGCAGAGTTTTGTTCCAGGGAGAACAGCAGAGCATGTTTTTTTTCTCTCGAAAGGGGAGTCAGTCGAATAGCATGTCTTTTGCAGGCGGATCATTTTGGATCCATGATCTTGCGAATGGATATGGTCAGGTAAAAACACCAAATAGAGCCAAACACCAAATAGACCCATATCCCGGTGACAACACATGACGCGGTCCAACACGTGACCCCGCTGGTGGACAGGTGGTGTATTTTGGCGCGTTCCCCGCGGTGGAGTCGGGGGATGTCTTGGAAGCCAACGTGGTGCTCAAGCAAAGTGAGGAGAACCCACGGCAATACAACATTTCGGTGGAGACCTTGTAGCTGGACGTGACACTCCAAGATCGGCCAAATACATTTTGACAACATTCAGTTGAAGTTACTACATTTACGACATTCAGTAATGCATTCATATGCGTTCATCATGTCCTTCGAATTGCGGGTAGTTTGTCGGCCGAACAGAACCCGAAATGTGACTGGTGTGCATGGCTGATGGCATGGCCATACAAACTCACATCAATATCTATTGAAGTGTTATCGTAGAATGGTGCAGTCCATGAAGTCTTGGGCAAAGTCACCCAGGGCTGATGGCAGCATTTTTGTTTTCGAGCAACAGGAGCGGGCAGTGCTTGGTCTTTGATCTATCTCCCATGACTGACGGAATCAAGCAAAGCAGTACTTTCTGACCAGCTCAATCGCCCATGCTAGGTTTGGTTTGGAATACTAGTGGCCCCCAAATAGACGGAAACGATATGAAACGATTTCCAATAGATTTTTAGTGGGGATCTACTTTTCTATCTATTTGGGGGTCTATGTACCATGTTTTAACCCCCTATGATTTCCCAGTGCACTATGTCACTATGTAATCGATATTAATCGATATCTACTCTGTCTATAAGCTCCTTGTTTCAGTGGTTTGCTCCATGCAACAGTTTCGCCGATTTCGCCGCGCGCTGAGTTCTGGCCTAGTCTCCACTCATACGACCTTCGGCAAAGGAAACCGCAGAGGGCTGAGAAACGACTAGGGTCCCAACCAGGTGACCAGGTCGAAAAGCTTCTGAAAAGTGCTTTTGAAGGAGGGAGTATGCACTGCTGGTCGGCCACCATTTGCACATGTTTTACAAGACTTTCTTTGGCATGGAGTTTGATCCTGATCCGAGGATTCGCAACACACAAGAAGGTAGTTGGCAGGGGAAGGCCAATTGCCGGGCTGTGCCTGGTGGGTGCGTTTCAGACCTCAGTGAAGCTAGAGAAGAGTCAAACATACCGCAGGGTTGTTCAATTCACCGCAGCCAAATGGCCGAAGATTTCCCAGAGGCTTCATGCCATGCCACATCATGCCACCATTTCTGATGTTGACTGCCAGGGACTCTCCAAATGGCCGGGAATTCTACGCCCATAGTCCTTTGCAGAAGTTGAAGTGGGAGGCTGTTCCGCAGAGCGCTGGGAATACGTCCACGTGACCTTCCAGGGGAATAAGACACAAGACGACGAGCCACTTCCTTTCCAATCTAACATAAATATTGCTCGGGGGTGTTCAGGACATCACTCAACTCTTCCTTTCAGGAGATGATGCTTTTCCAGCGCCAGGTCGGCCCACAATGCAGTCAGGGTATCGGTGGCCGAAAGGCGTGGCTGCTTTTCCCATTCCGATTGGAATCGGGCGACTTGTTCTGGGCGGCGTGGTGTTCGATGGAGGTCGACTTGGTTTAGTCGGCCATTTGACTTGCTTTTTCAGAGCTTGGCGGAAGCAGAGTCTCAAGGAATTCGCACCGGTTTCATGTCCATTTCTTTCCAGCAGGATTTCAGGAAAGTTGGAAGTTTGTGCGGCCACTTTCACATCTTTCACACGAACATCAATGCACATCGCCGTGCCAGAACATCAATGACACCTCAGTCCCCAACAAAGTGGGACCAGGACCGACCGAGGGACAGGACTATTCAATCCATGCACGAATTCTCGGCATTCGAAGATGATGGGTCACCTGTAACTATATATATACAAGTTCGCACGACAGCCGATTTCTGTATTTTGGCGTCCTGATATGTCCTGATCAGATAACGCCGTTTCAATGGTAACGTAGCCATAATCATGTTGGGATACTGTTGTGACCATTACCTGAACCAAGACATTGCGTCCCAGGAAGCTACAACATTGTGGCATCAGCAGCGCCTTGGTGTGATGGAACGGTGCCTTTGGCCCTGGTCTTTTGGAGATGCTTGAAACTTGAAATCCTCACACCAGGCTCAAATCAAACAGCTTAGCTTCACACAAGTCTTCGCATATGCTTCTAGTGAGACCAGCACAGGGGTGTGCGTCAAGATAGTCAATGTAAGTGCACAAGAACAGTTCTGGACATATCACTTAGATCAATGTTGGAACTAGGACGAACCACAAACCCAGGCTGACACCGCTTAATTACACCTGACAAGACCTTACAAAAACAGTGTCAAAGATGCCCAAAGACGGACCCATACCCGTAATGTCGGCTGCCCGAAGTCTCAATGTCTTTGGGATATGGCTATGGCAAAGCTTTGAGGCAGTTGAGGGGCTCTCTTCGCTGGCAAGATGTTCTTGCCATTGTTGCTACCCTGGAACCGTCCAGGGTGCTTTGTGCTGCAGCGGCAACTGCTTTGCGCCGCAGTATGCACTGGGAAGAAGCAGTGCAACTTCTCGACCAAATGACGAAGGGTTCTGTCCAGCCGGATGTTGTTAACTTCAATGCTACCATCAGTGCGTGTGGCGCTGCAAGTCAGTGGCAAGCAGCCACCTTTCTGCTTCATGACATGAGGGAGAAGCAGCTCATCCCCGATGTGATCAGTTACAATGCCTCCCTTTTTGCCTGTGACCGTGCAGCAGAGACCGGGCAAGCCTTACGATGCATGATGGCCATGCGCTCCGCCCATGTGGCACCAGACGAAAGCAGCTACAGCAGCTTGATGAGTGCAGTGTCTCGCTCTGGTGATTGGAAGGTTGTGCTTGACCTCCTGTGGGAGATGCCCAGAGCAAAAGTCACTACTGACTCGGTGTGCTTCAGCGTAGCGATGGGAGCTTGTGAGAAGGCGAGCGAGTGGCTTGTCGCTCTGGAGCTGTTTGAAATGATGCACGCTCGGCGCCTTCATCAAGATGTGTTTGCTTTTGGAAATGCCATTTGCGCCATGAGCAAAGGTAGCCACTGGCCGGGCGCATTGAAGCTTCTTGGGAGAATGCAGAAGGAAGGAATCTCTTTGGACACAGTGGTGTGCAACAGTTGCCTCACTGCTTGCGCAGCTTCTGCGCAGTGGGAGGCGGCACTGGATCTGTTGAGACTCATGACCGCAAAGAAAGTGGCCAAAACCACTGCCACTTGCAATGCCGTGGTTCGTTCGTTGGAGGCAAGTGGAGAACACAAGAAGGCAGTGGCTGTGTTGTTGCATGAATTTGTGGATGAGGAGCCCTCAGACGAAATTGAGCAACCAAGCATGTTCAGGTCGGCACGGCCAAAGCACATCTCCCAGGACTTCCGACGGAGCGTTGCTGAGCGTCTAGAGCGCGGCCTGGACTTCGCTGGTGGGATTTCGAGGCAGCCACGCCCCGTGGTTGCCATGGCCCAGGAGAAGGAAGAGAGGCCAAGTGCCATTGGCCCTGCTTGGTGCCAAGAGGCAACAGAGGCTTTCAATGAGTTGGTGCTTTCCAAGATCCGGCCGGAGCCAAATTTGGTGGACCATCTTGCCCACTTCGTCGCCCAATTGGAAAACACGTTGTCATCTTTAGGCAGGTATGGTCCAGTGCGTTTGGTTCCCTACGGGTCAATCATCAGCCGTTTTGCCGCCAAAGATGCGGACGCGGATTTCTCCTTGCTCTTCGAAGCAGAAGATGCGTCAACACGACAGTTCCAGCAACAGGTCCTCATTGAATGGAGAAGGGAACTTTTGTCACAAGGCTTCCATGTAAAAGCTATAGGTCTCGGTGGGCGAGTGCCAGTTTTGACGATTCAGTGGGGAAGTAACCGAACAGCGGATGTGACGATTGGCAATCAACTGGGCATCTATAAGAGCCAGCTGTTGCGAGACTATTCCCTTCTTGATGACCGCCTTTGCGCTTTGGTGATGGCCGTCAAGCACTGGGCCAAGCTGCGGCAGATTTGTGGTCAGACCAGGGGCTATTTGGGTGGCTATGCATGGACCTTGATGGCTATCTACTTTGCTCAGCGCTGTCGGCCACCATTGACTCCGCCATTGCAAGAATTGGCAGAACCCAAACTTTGGGAGCAAGATGGTCAGCTTTACAACGTGGCCTGGAAGGAAGCGAGCCAGGCACCGCTCCCGTCCGCGCGGACATCTGCTTCGCTGCTACAGGACTTCTTCCAGTTTTTCTCTGAAGGATTTGACTTCCACTTCGAGTCTGTGTCCATCCGTTTGGGCTGCCGAGCTATTCGCCACCGTGGCCCAGGCCCAGCTGCAGCTCGGCTCTCCTTGGAAGATCCCATCGAGACGGATTGGGATCTGGGGCAAATCCTTGATGGTCATCGACTGTCTCGTGTGCGTGCGGAGCTGCGCAGGGCCCACCGACACCTGCAGGGTGCTCAGGACCAGGAAGCAAGAAGCTGCTTGGAGGCCGTGTTTCAAGCGCGGGGGAGAAATCAGGAAAGCAAGCTCTGAAGGAGGTTTGCTGATATGTTTGTTTAGGGGGAGGGGGGGAATAGAATCGATACTGTAGTTGCAAACGATTGGTTTGATGCATCACTGTATCAGTAAAGATTGAGACTGGTAAGTGGTACCCCGCCTCAACAAATTTATTAGTAGGCCCACGAAAAGACACGCACATCACCAGCATCATTTGAGTGACTGGAACCAGCTTAGCGAAGCAACGCTTGTTCCAGGTTAGTGTTCAAACATTTTCACGTCAGTCATGTTGGTGACACTAGCCCTGAAGCATCAGAGAGAGCACACCATCACCTGCATTGGTGGTCATTCTCTCACAGATGGGAATGAGCAAAGTATTCTTTGGCTTTCGTTCCCGCTCAAGTGGTTTTCCAAAAGGCAAACATGCAGCTTGTTCATTGATTTTCCATCGGTTTCCATGTTCAGCCTCTCCATTGAATCGCCGTTTGAACAATCCCCGGCGGAGTCGCTGAGGCCAAAGCCCGCTCACCCTTGGACGGTCCTGAGTACTGCAAGACCTCTTTGGGAAGGTGGGTGAATTCGGGGAGCTCAAAAAGACTTGTCATTTGATCCAGACGCTGTTTTCGGACGCCCGTACAAGGCTTTAGAGCAGTCGCTAATGGACACACCGTGATCTCGATAGAGGGGTCATTAGTGGACACCTGTTGGAGATTGTTGGAGGGTCCCGGAACAGCTTCTGAATGTTGCAGTTGCAAGGCGACTTGTCCCAGCGAATGATGCTTCAACGTAGTCGATGGCTTGGGGGCAGCTCCTAGCCTGGTTTGTGACAGGAAGCTGCCAAGCACACTGGTGCCGGTGGACATGTGCTCCCCTGGCCCACATCACACCTATGAGGCAGGCTCCTGAAACTCAGACTCTAGGGCCTAGATTGGCCTAGATATGCCTAGATGGGCCTAGGGCATTCGTCTCTCAAAGGCAGTGCCAAATCGGCTGCACGCGAGGTTTTGAACTTTAACAGTCCAGCAAAATGTTTTTTGCATGTGTTTGCCACCTGTGATATGCATGGGCATAGGGCCGCTTATTTTGCTTCGTAATCTGCATGCGCAAAGCCTTGAACACATGAAGCCAGCATGCAAGCTCGGTCAGGAACATGTTGGCATCCGCACCTGATGTGTGTTTACTTCGCCCACTACAATTGCAAATTTATGCATTTGTGTGCGCGGGCAGAACAGTTCAATCTGTCGACGCAGGTGAGAAAACCATTGGATCACCACAAGCCAAACTACGGCAAGCCAGGGCACCTGACACGTGCGTGGGTTTGTCACTGCTATACCAAGCCATTCTCGTATGGCGTGCATCGCAAGCCAAGTGGCAAAATTTGGGAATGACCTGCCTGCGCTTTGCAGCATTGCAGAATTCAGAATGCTTTCGGAGCTACCTTCAGACTTCAGAGTGACCAATGGACATGTTTTTCCATGGCCGAACATGGATACGCTACATTCCCTTCACGTTTGTAGATCAAATTCGCAAGGCATGTCCTGCTGTCCAGTCGAGCATACCTGCCTGTCACTTCCGCATGACCTTCCGCATGAAAATCGAGGCCCTCCCTGTCATATGGCTATCGCGCCCCTCCACCAGAGGACACCGATGGGTCTTGGAGCTGAGTGGGGTCGAAGAGAGCAGTGCATTTGCATTGTTTTGGAGTTTCTTGGAAAGATGAACACATGGATACACATGGCAAAAGCTTTGAAACGGTGTGCCACTTCTGACGCGAAACATGACATCGTTGAGATAGCATGACATAGCTTTTTGAGGCCATCAGGCCATCAGGTAGAACATGAAGTGGAGTCCACTGACGTTTGAAACTGTGCGGAGACGTTTGGAGGATTACATTTCGGATTAAATTGCCTTCAGTTCTTCCTGTCCGGTGGCGACTTCGCAGCCGCCATGTGTTGGCCTTCAAGTGAATGGCGATGTTTTTGCAGCCATCAGCCTCCAAAACCGTAGGAACCGCCAGTTTGCATAAACTTGAGGACCATGACTAGGCAACCACGACAACTGATGAGGGTGTCACCTGCTTAGTCTCAGAGCGTGTACAGATACACCACAACACGGAGGAGAGCTTTTGTTCAAAGGTCTTGGCGGACCATTTTTCTCCTCAAAGTTCACTTGGCATAGTCAAGTTGTTCTGACAGCGATGGCTGGAATGCACGCAGTTGCTCTTGGAAGTGGAATTGCTCCTGAATGGACTCTTGGAACGAGTTCGTGGCCGAATCGGGAAGTGCCAATAACGGTCAATGAGTGATGTAATAATGACGCAACAACCGCTGCAATAACTACAACTACAACGTATGTTACCATATACTGGCATTCGCCAGCTTCAAAGGAGTGCTTGGAGACGTGTTTTGGTGTGTCTAAATCATGTTGTTCTTGCGCCTCAGGAAGCATGACGAGACCTATGTGGGGCGGATGGAAAAGGGTGAATCCATTGAGATCACCACATGCTCCGAAGAGGTCTCCCAAGATCAGCGTGAAATTCTCCAGGAACGCCAGCTCATCAACAACCCGGTGGGGGGGCCTGCGACGGATCCGACTCCTCGGGATTCGAAGAAGAGTCATTAGAGGATATTATATAGGTCGATTCGTAAGAAGAAGTGAGCAGGTTCCACAAAAAATGAGCCAATTCTCACGAAAGGGTGCTTTTTGTTGGTTGATTGAAGCCAGGTGAAGATGTGCATGCGCTCTTGTGTGGACCACATCAACGGCGTGGTGGATGATGCAGCGACTCCGAAGAAGTCTCTTGGCGTTTCAACTGACCATAGGGACGAACGTCCGAAGTTCCTTCAGCTTGGCACTGTGAGCAGGATGGCATAGGAGTCTAAGGATGGCCCTTTGAAGGGGATTGAAAATGGTTCTCGATTCATCTTCCCTTTGCCATTTCGCTTTGCAAGCTTTTGACGCCCCAAAGTGTGGCTTTTTTCCATGGCATCCAATTTCTTTGTCTGCACCCCGCGTCGAGCAAAGCAGTCGCACCCAAGGTCCAAGCGGCCGCGGAAGGAAACTTCGATGCTGGATAAAATCAGCAAGATTGCGACTTGACACCATTCGGTTGTCATGAAACCGGGGACCTGTGCCAGGCTACTTGTAGTCTGAAATGCTGGCAACGACCTGTCAAATCATCCCCAGGCAAAGAAGAGTAAAACAAGTTCGGTGACGATTGATGAAGAACCATGCGGAATCATGTGGCAAGCAGAGGCACAAAGCATTTGCATTCGGCACGGCACCAAGGTGACCATTTTGCAGTGGGTGCCAGACTCTAAGCGCAACAAATTCAGCCAGGTGTGCAATTGTGCTCATACAAAGTGCTTGTTTGACATTAGTCCCAGGCAGCTTCTACAGCTTGCTGTTTTGCTTAGTTTCATTTTGCGTAAGAGTTGAGGACCAAAAACGGTGCCTGGTACCATGTAGAAAACATGAAAAAACGGCCCGTGATTCCTTTCGCATGTCGACATCTAAGGACTTAACCTGCCACAAGGTTCGTGCTGACCTGGTGGCTGGTCTCACCGTGGGTGTCATGGTGATCCCTCAGAGCATGTCCTATGGAGCCATTGCAGGGCCTCTTGGCAGTGCACATGCAGAGCTGAGATGTGAGAGGCATCAAACAACAAAACACACGCACAATCACACACGGATCAACAAAAACATATGGACTCATATGGATCAAGAAAACAAAACCATAAAGATCCAGAAAGGATATAAAAATAACAGAAAAGACATAAATAAAGATATAGGACAAGTATACAGTTTGAAAGGTTCCACATGTGCTGCAATTCGCTGGTGTTACACTGTGTGATGCCGCAATCCGAATTCATTCCCTACACACGCAGCACGCCATGGGGGGAGGCCGCAGAGCCTCCCGCCAACACCTTCGCAGCTCCACAAAATTTGCATCTAACGAACTGCGCCTGCCATGAAATCATGTGTTCAAAACCCATCCTTTGCTGCTATCATGGTTTGGTCGCCCACAGCCACGACAATTAACTATGCCACAGAAGTCAAACATTCTAACTTTTGCTGTGCTTTTTGGCCAAAAGAAAACCAGCCTGTGCCGACTGCTGCTACTGCTGCAATGTGTCCCTTTTCTATTGTTCTTCTTTGTTTCGTTGATTCTAGCTTAACCCTCCATCCACTCCTTTGGCTCAGTGATGGTCTAGCAGCATGCATCCAAATGAATCACTCCAGTCCACTGTGTTTCACCAGTGGGCAGAAGGTTCCCTACACACGTCCTTGCCCTCGATGAGGAAAAATCTGAAGACGCTTCAAGTAGTCTTGTTCTTGTGCTTTGTCAACTGCCCCTTGCCTCTTACCTGACAACCAGGACCTGCATGTTCGATTCTACTGGCTTTCTACCTCCTGAATCAGGTTGTTTATTTGTTTATCAATGTTTATCTTCTTTTGATCCCCCACCCAGACAAGGCTGCAATGATTTCCCTCTAGGACATGATGTCATACGTTGACACTGGCCACAGGTCACGGTTCGAACATGTTTAAAGTTGATGCCCTTTACGGGGTTTTGCCAACCACACACTCTGACATTGGTTTTCAGTTAACTCAGTTCCCAAGTCGAGAAAAAAGGTTAGGGAAACGCAAGGTGAGTGAGTCGGCGAAAACAGTATGGTTTAGCATTGTTCGCAAGTGGCATCGAAATCGATCTGTACAATCGGCGCGGTGACAAGCTCAGCTGCAGGAAAGTGGGTTTAGGGGAGGAATCGTGTAAGGACCATGGAAACAAACCGATCAAAGTGGACAGCTTGATCAAAAGTTCAGTTCGCAGGTACACACTGAGACGCCTCTCAGTGCTTCCCATCTCGCTGCCTAGCTTTGTTAGACCAGGTTAGCAGCGAGATGCCTGGTCCTCCTGCGGCTTGAAAGTTGAAAAACAGAAGCTCTTAGTTACAGAGGTGGACACACACAGAACGCCGATATCGGCGCTCTGGAGGAACTATGAGGAACTTACTAACCACCTAAAAAGCCTTAGAAAGGAAGAATAGAAAGACAGAAAGGGAAACGCAAAAGCAAGAGAGAAAGATAGGTGTAGTGACGAGGCCCACTAGTTACGAAACCTGCTAGTTACTGAATACTTAGCCGTATTACTGTAATTAAATGCACTAGTTAGCGAGCGGGACATTCGTCCTCGACCGCCCGGGTAGCTAGGAGTAGAAAAGGATAAACAGAAGGAAAGGTACCGACACGCAAGTGTGTCGAGTACCATTTCCTTCTGTAACCCTAGATAGCCGGTGGGATAGAAGCACGAATTCGGTTGCAAGGTTGGGGGGGGGGTGCGTGGATGTGCATGTGTGACATGTATATGGCCGTAAGCCCGGCGGCGTGGAAGGTGAGTCGCAACTGGACATGTCAAACTCACAAGCTCACTCGAAAGGTGGAAAAAGATCTTGGGCCCGACGGCATTGGGTTTTGAGAATCCAGTAGTGAAACAAAATCGGTTAAGAGAATCCTAGGCATGCAGGAAAACAGTTGAGTCTGTTTCACGAAAATCCGGACTGAAAGCGGCGCCTCCTTGCGGAGGATCACGCCCAGCACCCAAGTGGGACGACTGAGCGATTCACACTCTGACATGGGTTTTCAGTTAACTCAGCTCCCAAGTCGAGAAAAAGGTGAGGGAAAGGCAAGGTGAGTGAGTCGGCGAAAACAGTATGGTTGAACATTGTTCGCAAGTGGCCTCGAAATCGATCTGTACAATCGGCGCGGTGACAAGCTCAGCTGCAGGAAAGTGGGTTTAGGGGAGGAATCGTGTAAGGACCATGGAAACAAACCGATCAAAGTGGACAGCTTGATCAAAAGTTCAGTTCGCAGGTACACACTGAGACGTCTCTCAGTGCTTCCCATCTCGCTGCCTAGCTTTGTTAGACCAGGTTAGCAGCGAGATGCCTGGTCCTCCTGCGACTTGAAAGTTGAAGAAACAGAAACTCTTAGTTACAGAGGTGTTACAGAGGTGGACACACACACGGCGTTGTTTGGGGTAAGGTTGGCCAGGTTGGCAATCAAACAATGCTAATGCTATCATACAAATATCGTACAAGTACCGACAACTTCTGAAGCACCCTTGTGCGTACCCAACATATGTTTATTGTGGCTGTTGAGGAGTGTTGCCCAAAAAAGGGTTGACTTAGATCGCAACCCAGCGGAGGACCGAGGGAAGGATAGTATTACATATATATATGTATGGATATATGTGTATATGTATATAATATCTATAAATATATATATATATGTGTGTGTGTGTAATAAAGTTTTCCAAGCAGTTGTACCGGAAGGCTGGAAGGCCCACCAAATCTCAATTGAAGATAGGCCATTTGGTCCAGAAATGTCACGGGGGGCCCGTGGTAGGTCAGAAACCGCGCGAAGGGCCCCAGCTTTCCAGCTCACAGGCAATCCATTCTGGAGTCTGCTTGGTTCTATTTGATGCAACACACTGGAGCTGCGTGATCCGGAACGTCAATCTATATAGGTTTGGGTTCGGAGACACGGACCTGTTTCGCTAAAAGCATAATCTTTGCAAGGCGCCGCTGGCAGAAGAGATTGAGTTCGATGTCTTCTGAGGTTGCCCTACATCAACGGCATGTACTCCGCCTGTATCCCCACGCTGATCTACGCCTTCTTCGGGCAAAGCCGTCAATTGGCCGTGGGCCCGGTGGCGATGGTCTCCTTGTTGGTCGAAGCGGGCCTCAACGGCCAACTGGGCCCGGAGTGCACAGTGGAGGGGAAGCCACAGTACGAGGCGCGCCGGTGTGGCACCGGGCCAGAACTGGCGTTTCCTGGGTCAGCTGAGATGGAAGACCTAGAGCAATCCCAGTGAGCTCAAAATTCTTCTTGACTTCACGGTGCAAGCGAGGTTCCAAGACATGGCTGCAGAGCTCCGCGTTTTACTGTGTTTTTCCCCACCTGCCAGGTGAGGGTTGTTAGATTTTCAGTTGTTCTTCCTCTTCCTTCCTTCCTTCCTTCCTGACTTCCTTCCTGACTTCCTTCCTTCCTTCCTTCCTTCCTTCCTTCCTCCTTGCTTCCTTCCTCGCCAACCTCCTCGCCAATCTTCATCGCCAATCTTCATCGCCAATCTTCATCGCCAATCTTCATCGCCAATCTTCTTTGCCAATCTGCTTCGCCGATCTTGTCTGGCAAGCTCCGGATCGCAGTGCGCACCCCTGGACCTCAACCGCAAGGATCCGATCGCAGTGTGCACCCCTGGACCTCAACCGCAAGGATCCGATCGCAGTGTGCACCCCTGGACCTCAACCGCAAGGATCCGATCGCAGTGTGCACCCCTGGACCTCAACCGCAAGGATCCGAGCGCAGTGTGCACCCCTGGACCTCAATCGCAAGGATCCCCTCGCAGTGTGCACACCTGGACCTCAACCGCAAGGATCCGATCGCAGTGTGCATCCCTGGACCACCGCAAGGATCCGATCGCAGTGTGCACCCCTGGACCTCAACCGCAAGGATCCGATCGCAGTGTGCACCGCTGGACCTCAACCGCAAGGATACGACCATCCACGCGCAGCGTTCCCTGCCGGACCTCTACCACAAGATACAACCACAACCACAATCACAAACACATAACCCGCAAACGCAACCACAAACACACAACCACAAACACATAACCGCAAACACGCAACCACAAACACACAACCACAAACACACAACCACAAGCACATAACCACAAACACAAGCACAACCACAAACACAAACACATAACCACAAACACAACCACAACACACAACCACAGACACAACCCCAAACACAATCACAAACACACAACCACAAACACACAACCACAAACGCAATCACAAACACACAACCACAAACACACAACCACAAACACATACCACAAACTCACAACCACAAACACAACCACAAACAACCACAAACACACAACCACAAACACAACCACAAACGCACAACCACAAACACACAACCACAAAGACGCAACCGCAAACACACAAGCGCAAACAAACACAACCACAAACACAACCACAAACACACAACCACAAGCACACAACCACAAACACATAAACCACAAACACACAACCACAAACACAACCACAAAAACACAACCACAAACACGCAACCACAAACACACAACCATAAACACACAACCACAACACAACACCGCAAACACACAACCACAGACATAACCCCACAAACACCACAAACACCCACAAACACACAACCACAAACACAACCACAAACACACAACCACAAACACAAACACAACCACAAACACTCAACCACAAATACAATCACAAACACACAACCACAAACACAACCACAAACACATATCCACAAACACAACCACAAACACAACCACAAACACCCAACCACAAACACAACCACAAACACACAACCACAGCCACAAATACAAGCACAACCACAACCACAAACACACAACCGCAAACACATCCACAAACACACAATCACAAAGACACAACCACAACCACAACCACAACTACAAACACACAATCCCAACCACTACCAGTACCACAAACACAATCTCAAACACACAGCCACAAACACAGCCACAAACACAATCACAGCCACAAACACAACCGAAAACACATCCACAAACACACAATCACAAACACACAGCCACAAACACACAATCACACACACACACAACCACAACCAAAACACAGCACACAACCACAACCACAGCACACAACCTGAGGACCCACAAGCAAATTCGAGAACTACAATACTCACGACCATTCCAACATGCTCTTCACTATGGCATCAAGACAAGTGATTGAAGTGTCATGGTGGGGATCACTCGAAGTAAAATAATTTTGTGTTTCGGGTCAGGATGCACTCGGGGGGCCCAGATGTGACCAGGCCTTGATATACCAAAGGTGTGAGTTCTTCATCCGAGTTTTAATTTCGACCACTGGTTGATTGCGCGCCTGGACGACTGTTGGTGCAACAATAAGAGCATGGCACACACTAGACATCACTAGACCTTTGTGGCCCATGGGCCAGCGAGGCTAAAAGTCATCCAACTACGCAAAGCAGGAAACCTTGGTATGATTCCAGGGTTGGCTTTCTCTTTGGCATCAGAAGGTGGTATTACATGATCTTCACATTTTTTGGCATACCAGACCTTCACTCTGAAGATCTCAGCAAATGTTTCACATCTGAATGCCGCTGAATGCCGCTGACCGCCCAGACGTGTCCGCAAGAATACGTGGGACTTGCATGCCTCACTGCAGCTGTGGTTGGAGTGATGCAAATCCTCGCGAGTTTCTTGGAGGAAAAGGTCACGGAGAATGCCTGGCAACCCTCAAACGCATAGCATCGGACATTTGATGCCTATGGGCTATGGGTTCTCAGACCTTGAAACCTGCGAGCAATCAAAGTGCAGCTAATTCGAAGTAGAGAAACACGAGCGTCCAGTTTTAACTTGTTCACCTTGAAGTAGAACGTGTCCCCATGGGTCTCTTTTTTAGTTTCACTCCAGGGTGTGCGTTGAAACTCCAAGGTGTCTTGAAGCTGGGCTTCCTGGTCACCTTCTTGGGACACCCCGTCACTCGGACTCAGCATCGGCGGTCGCACCGGAAACATCAACCCGGTTTTGTTCTTGATGCTTGCGTGAGAACAATTGGGCAGCGTCACTCTACACGTCCCCAAGAGTGCTTAAGTTGAGCTTCATGAGCCTGTTATGCATTTGGAACGGTTTGTCGACAAGTGAGAATACTTAGCAGAAACCGTTGCATATTCATTGACAGTTGTCAAAGATGCATGGTGGCATGTCCGGCTCGAGTATCAAAAGCCCCGACTCTGAGCTCATGGCGTTGCACCTGCCTCAATTGCCCCGCATTGGGACACTGTCCTCACAGTCCTCCGATGCTGGGGACGCGACTCAGTCATGCCCACTGATGGGCGGAAGAACCAGTTTCAAGAAGGATCAAGATTGGGAGATCATGATACTACTGGATGACTTCTGGATGTCAAGACTTCTGGATGATGAATGAGCACATACTGAGAGACCTAGGCATATCTTGGCATCATACCGCCGGCTGTTTTTTTCTAGAATGTGGTGGGTCGACATTGAACATAGTCATTGGCACCGACAGGAGCCGTGTTGTTCTCACCGACGCCCCGTGCACGGCAGGAATCCTTGCTGGAGCGCCGGGAGCGCTTCCGCAGAGGTTCAGAACCCTTGGCGCTTCAGAAGTCGGACGACGCCTGGATGAACGTGGAGTGTTGCAGCCAGTCTGCCAGCCAGTCTGGTTGAAGTTGATCAACTGATCGAACTGGTCCAATTTCTGTTCCTTTTGGGTTTCGGTTCCAGAAGTTGGTCCAAAGAGTTGCAGACAGGTGCAAGATTTGTCACATAGGAAGCTCATTCGGTTGTGATTATTCTCATGTTGGAACTCAAAACGCTTTAGGTATCGTTACGATCTTTACCTGTTTGTTGGAAGAATATGTGGCTTGTGAAGCGGGTAATTAGGGCGGAAGACGCACCTGTGATTGGCTCCATGTTACCCGTTGGTAATGATTTATGCTCTTTGCTTTGCCTGCATGCACATGCTATCTTATGGCCAAGCTATCTTAGGGCCAAGGGCAAACAAATACTTGCAAATAGTCTCCAGATCAAACCAAGTATCCAGTGTTCTGTTCTTTTACCAGGTCCCAGGGACAAACACAGAAGGAGAGAGGGGGAGCGCCTGAGCCTTGTGTCACGTTGTCAGATATGTTTGATAATATATAGTGCCTTCTTCGCCCACTGGCATAGGTGACCAGGTGAGATCGCCATTCAAAAGATTAGAATTGCCAAAGCTCCCGCCGGTTCACCTGGTAAAGCACATCTTAGAAAGACACACACTCATGACAAATGTTCGACCTGAATCCAGGTGATAGGTCACATAACCAGCCTTCCGACCAGAAGTGATGCCTCGCCTGCCTCGCTGAAGCGGAGGCGTTTGCCGCAACGGCTGAGGATACAGGGCCTTTCGGTCCGCCCAGCCCCTACCTCGACCTCATGGGCTGTGTTCCAGATCCGGACAGCCGTCGGCACAAAGTGCAGCTCCCAGCCTTGAGCCCGAGGCGTTCACAGCAACTTGAAGAACAGATCCGAACGTTTCCTTATGACCCTTAGAGCCATTTAGAGCCTTAGCGTGAAATTGAAAGGGTTCTAATATGGTTTTGTCATAGCCTCGTAGCAAAGAAGAGAGGGTATGCTGGCAAGAGGTCTTATTGCCAAAGACTGATCCCACCTGTGTCCAAATGCGCATCCACGTGCCTCCCTCGAAGTTTGGGCAGTTCGGTCTTGAGTCTGAAGATGCTTACCCAATTGAAGGAATATCATACTATCGCAGAACTGTTTGGTGTGAACCCGAGATGTTGGAAATTAATTCCATTGATGTTCCGTTCTCATGTGACAGGCTGACCAGCGACAGTGAGGCAGTCGGTCGATGCGCCAGTGAGGTCGGTAGATGTTGAGCTGATGGATCCACGAAGAGAAAAACTGAAGCTTCGATGGTAAAACACTTGCAAACAAACGAGGCAAAATCAAAGACACTTTGAGTTCACAATTCGTCGAACATGGTAGCGGGGATCCATTGGGCGCAGTAGATCGTACAGGACACGAAAACCGTTGTTTTGGTTGATTCCCCATGTTGTTTCGTGACATGCAGATACATCCATCGTTCTGTGTTCTGTTTTGTGGTGATCATTGATGAAACACCACATTGGAACCACGTCGCCTGGTGAACTTCCACAAGGGGAGTGGCCGGGTATCTAAACTCCACCGATGCACCTCTCCAGCTGGGGCAGACGCGAAACCTCCTCGGTTACGTACGATGGCCAAGGACGCGCCCCCTCTTTGAGGGGGGTGGCAGCGGGTGGAAGCTTATTAAGGTTATGACTCACACAACTACCCGTCACGCGGTGATTAGTGGGGGCAGGCTCTCCCCTTTGGGAATCAGAAGTGGTCAAAAGAATGCTAGCATTGGATCTATGCTTCTGGTGGTAGGTTTATGTTGCAACAACCAATTCTTGAGCTTGTGCCCCATAAATCGCCCTGTGATGTTTGTTTACGTGTCATTTTTAAGAAAGACACCATCCAGAAAGGTTGTACAGGATCACGTTTGGCCTGCTTTGGATTGCCCGGTTGCTGCTTTCATCGTTTTGTGCGAAGAATGAAACTACAAAGAGCCTGCTTTCGAAGAAGCATGCCAGAATGCGAATAAACATGCAGGGTTTGTGTGTGTGTTTTCGGTGGTGTTCCACAGGCCCCAGGTGGCTTTTTAGTCTCACCGCCCCGGACTTTCTACTTGAGACTCCGTCGCTTTCTTGTCCTCGCCGGAGTATTCGGGAAAAGGCATCGCTTGGCCGCTTGCATGGCTGCAAGATAAATCTCTCCATATGCCCTCCTTAGCATCACATGTGGTCATCATGGAGGATTGCTTGTTTAGTTTTACTGCGTATGTGTATGCATTATATATATAAATATATATATATATATGTGTGTATAGTGGCCGTGCTCTCTCACGAGCGTGTGGACTTTGCATGACCGTTCACAGCTTGCACACCTGAGGTTTACTCGTCCTTCTTGGATCACCGAATGCTGCAGATAGAGGGGCATGGAGGGTCAACTTTTGGACACCAACAACCACACAAGCATACAAACAAGGATTTGCCCTTACAAACTGGGGCCGTGTGTCTCAGACTTTTTGCAGATCCAAATTTGGTTGTTTCAACCGATATGATCCGATATGCACAGATTTGATGCCACCAAGTGTCCTCGGATGGATTTGTGCTGCAGGTGATCAGCGGATTCACCAGTGGAGCTGCCATCATCATCGGCCTCAGTCAGCTAAAGCAGCTTGGACATCGCAGGGTCAGAAGATGGGGGCACCCTGGGCCCTTTATCGCATCGGCCTGATGGTTAAGGGGAACAATCCTGGGGTGAAAGCAGAATCATCCATAGAGTCGTCAAACATGTTTTTGTTCTTTCACGTCCCTTAGGAGAAATGCAAAGACACGCAGTGCACAAGCTGGGGTGTCAAGAATAGTAGTTTAAGGACATCTCAATTGTGCACAAGAACTTGCAAGATCGCCACGTGATATGAGAAGATCTGAACTGGTGTAGTTGTTTCCGGTTGGTCCAGCTTGCTGGCTTGTCCTTGTCATTGCGTCTCAGGTACATCTTGGGTTTTGACTTACCCAAGTCCCAGTACATCTATGAGACGTTACTTGCCGCAGCTGAAGCCCTTTGTTAGGAAATGTGTTGGTGGATCCAAAAGCCATAATCACATAACTATAAAAAAGACCATCCTGCATCATCATTTGTTCAATCCATTGTCGCACAGACTTGCAGAGAGAGAGAGAGAGAGAGTTTGCATGTCCTCTTGTTGGAGACCCCATCATCGCATCCAAATATAAGTGGAGATTCATTGATTGAGGATCTACAACGTTATCATCAAGATCGATCAAACCAAAGGTATGCCTTTGCTCCTGGGTATCCTTTGGATTGCTTACTTGAGCCTTGGCAAGATGTGACGGAACTCAAACCTGGGTCACATTTGCTCGCTGGAAACTCATGAATGTTCAGTGCGGGATGTGAGAACCTGGCTCAACCGAGCAAGATGTTGGCGTATTTCCACAGCTGCCAATAGCTTTCAATGCTATTAGGTTGCAGGCCATCGCCAGTAGTTTGGAGGCCATCGCTCTTAGGTTGGAGACAATTGCTATTAGGTTGGAGGGCAGGGCGGCCTTTAAACAATGTATCGGTGATGTTCGGCTGCTGGAACCCTCAAGGCTTGGCAACAAGCACTTGGCACAGAAGTACAAACGCTTGAAGATGCTTGGTCCGCTGGGGCCTCTCATCAGCTGCTTGGTGGGGACAGCTGCTTGGCCTGATGGGAAAACTACCGGCAAAGCCTTATTGGCAATTTGGGGATTAGATGTGATTGAGCCTCATGTAGCGCACCCTTTGATTTGTTGAAATCTCATTGAATGAGACACCTGTGAATTGCTATATGCTTTGCCACCCTGCTTTCATCACAATCAAGACCTGCCGTATGAGCTAGAGAGGCAGCAGCTGAATGTGGCTTTGAGGTGCTCATCGGTGTTTTTCACGAGTTCTTCGCTGAGACTTACCACGTGAAATACGTGACTTGTAATGAGTATGTGAGAGCATGTGTGTTGTTTGCTGGTTGAAGCCCCCCTTGCTCTCAAACAGTGACCCCCAAATAGAGAAAAGTCACTCCCCTTGACATGTATTGGATGGAGCTGTTGTTTCTTTTTCGGAGGTCACTTGTTCAGAACTCTTCACTGGATGGCAGGTGGGGGAGATACCATCCGGCATCATGCCCCTGAGCCTTGATGCTTGGCAATTGGACAAGATCCCCACAGTGCTGGGCACGGCGATGTCGGCCTCTCGGTGAGTACTGTTGGATGGGCTTGGATTCGACTGATTAGCGCAAGAAGACACTAAGTTTGGGCTTAGCTCTGGTCTAGCAGTGTATATAGTATGCATGCAAAAGACCCCAGGGACAGTTTTAAATGTTGTAAACAACATTAAACAACTGGGAAAAGCTTGTTTCTCGACTGGTCAGAGGCTTTCTATATAGATATACAGTATATAATCATCGTGATTTATATCATTTGATGCATGGGTTCCTTCTTCTGACTGAATATGTCACTGAATGCCTGGTCATGATGAAGGCTTGCTTAATTGGGTACATGGAGTCCATCGCCATTGGAAAGAACCTTGCTGCCACCAACGGGTATGATATCGATGCGGGGCAAGAAATGTTGGCGCTTGGCATCGCGAATGTGGTTGGCGCAACTTGGCTGTAGAATTGCACAATTTGACCTGTTGTTTGGGGCATCATGAAGCGCGATGTGGCAATGTGTTGCCAGATTTAAGTGTCCCGGGTCAGGATTTGGCAAGTGCCGGCACGCCTAAGAGCCAAAGGGATCCAAAGGGAATCGGCGTGCCAACACCTCTTATGTTGGTATTATCCGACAATTCAATTTGTAATGCCTCCACACACTGCAACGTCGAGCCTTAAAAAGACCCACAACAAGTATCAAACATTTAGCATCATTAGCTATTACCTGGCCGGAACATCCAGCCACATCCCAAGCTAGGCTTGTCCCAAACAAGCAAGCTCCAGTGCCAGCTCCTTATCGGTCTTTGAACTTGCTAACTACAGAAGCTCCGCAGTTGAGGCCGCCTTCAGTTGCTACCCAGTGACAGGATCCTTCTCGCGCTCCGCGGTCAACAACTCCACAGGGGCCTTGTCACAGCTTTCAGGTGTGATCACTGCCGTGGCGCCCTGGCACGGCAATCGACATGGGGATCAAGCACAAAAATACAAATATACACTGCAGACCTGGACACTCAAACACAATAGAAAAAGGCACGTATATATATATATATACGTCACATAACGCGTGTTGAGTCTCGTGTACGTTTGTTTGCGATTGGGGTAGGTTGACAGTCCTGGTAGTCCACAGGATTCATTTTTGGGGCTTCGCCATAAACAACCTGAAACACTTATATATCCAGCAGTTTGACGTCAGACTTGCTTGCTGCTTACTATCAATTGATTTCTATTGAAGACATGTTGCAGAATGTTGACCGTGGTTGGGAGGGGATTACTTTGAATCAGCAGCTCAAGTTCCAATCTTCAGCCGTCAAAACAAGAAAGCAAATAGAATTAATAGAATAGCATAATGGAATGTACGTGTGAATGATATACATGTATCAAAAAAAACTCCCATGAAGTTGATCGCAGGTTTGTTTACATACTCTCGGTGCGTGGGTCCATTCACTGAGTGTTTATTTGGTTGCACCTCAGGTGATGTTGGCCACACTGATGTTCTTGACCCCTTTGCTGCTTGGTGGGAAAGGGACTTGGGTGTTTGATCCGTACGTTGGGAACCGGCTTGCAGCCATGGAGAAAGACACATGCTTCACTGCTTGCAGTCCTGGCCATTCCTTGGGCTGCTCACCCAAGAGCCACAAAGAGAGAGAGAGAGAGAAAGAGATGCGATCATTTTCTTCCAGGTTCCAGCTCTTCCACGTTTCCCATTCCGCAGTATTTAGTTTCAGCCGAGAGCGATGCTTTCTTAAGAAGCCGGGGACAGTATTTCCTGAATCAACAACATTTGCATTTGCACATTTACTCCTCAAAGGCCGGTGCGGAAGTGTAATTAATTTGTTCTGCAGTGCAGGTGGTTGGTGACACCAGGTGAATCTCATGGATGAAACCTCGCCAGAACTTCTGCAGGTTCTACTACCTCCCCAAGTTTGCCTTGGCCGCTATCGTGATGAACTCGGTCATCCCTTTGGTTGCTTTCGGAGAAGCCAGGCACCTTTTCCATGTGAAGAAGCACGACTTCGTGCTTTGGGTGCTGACCTTAGGCCATATTGATTGATACAATGGCTTCAAATAGTTCCCAGTGGGGGGTCCAACAGGGAGTTGCTCAAGAAATGGATGTCTCAATCGAAAGCTTTGGTACGCCAAGGTGACGGCTTTTCTGGGCACACTCTTCTTGGGTGTGCTGATGGGAATCTTGGTGTCTGTGGGCCTCTCCCTGGTCATTGTCATCTATGAATCAGCCAGGCCACAGATTACCATCCTTTGGCGGATTCCAGGAACATCGATCTACCGCAACATGAAGCAGGAAAACAATGGGACCTTCATTCAGAGCCTTGGAGAAGTTCTTTGGAGAAGGGGTTGAACCAATTGAGCAAATGGAGCGGTGAACCATTTTCGGCTCCACAGAGCATCACTTTGATGAGGAGTGCTTCTCCAACTGAAGACTAAGGCCATTTAGCGTCATTTACTGGTAGCAATTTCCATTGCGACCATTCCTCCCTCCAAGGGACAGTTCCCATGAAGGTTCCCTGCAAAATTGTTGTGCTCAGAGACTCAGAGCAGCAAGGAATGTCTTCATCGCTCGGATTGGCTCATCTCTCTACTTTGCAAATGCATCCTTTGCCACTTTGATGCATCGGGAGATGTTTCCTCTAAAGAGCAGTCGCGAATGGTAGAAAGTTGGCTGAGGCCTTGAAAAGCACCCCTCAAAAGTGACAATTCAATGCAGTTATTCAGCCGAGTTCCAAGCGTGACTGGAAAGGCCCCCCTCAAGAGCGATAAGCTTGTTGAATGATGTCATTTTCTTTGCCCAGCCAAGAGTCGTCGAAAGATTGGTATGGTCAGAATCTGGACTAGAGATCGATGAGATGGCCATGCTGTTACACGCGTGACCATGGAGACTCACTCAAAAGCTTGTAGCAACTGTCAATGCTTTGGCCATTTCTTTGCGCAAGGTGAAGGAGATGTTGCTGGCCCATGTTACCGACCTGGAGGAGGTGAACAAGACGCAGTACATTGTGCTTCGCTCCTAACGAAAGAGCGACGCAGATGCGGGGAGATTTGACTGAGGGGCCATTTCCCTGCTCAGGCCTTGCGGTTCTTTGACACGTTTCTTCACTCGAAAAAGACAATAACATACTGTAAATGGCTTGGTGGTGCCACGGCGGCGACACGCACAGATGACTCATGACATGAACTCCACACACAAAAGCTGTCAGCTCATGCATGCTCCCTTGCTCCCCCAACTCAAGCCTGCACCCCTTCATGAGGAGGAACGAGAGTAGGTGGGCTTGCGACGCAAAGTTCCAAAAGTGGTGCCCTCTTTTCGTGCTTAATTTATCTTAATTTTACTTGGAAGATTGCAACCCTTTATCAAGCCTTTGCATCCTCGTGTCTTCTTGTTCCTAGTAGTAAGTCCTTGCTCCTAGTCTTACACACTCAGTTTGTGCCCTGTCGCTGCAGGTATTGGAAATGAGACTTGTTTGATTTCTATTCGCCCAGGGCAACCGTCGAGAGAGGTTTGTTATGTTGCCTTTCGAGGCAGAGCGTGATGTCGAGTAAGTATCCAAAGCCATGCCTTTGCAGAGACTGTCAGAGACTGTCCGCAGCTCTTCGATGGCCTGCGTAGGTATTGCTTGTGTCCAACTGCTGCCACCAAGGACACCGGTGATTAGTGTGGATTCCACCGCCTGCCATGTCATCAAGGACGTGGTGAATGATTTCCGCATGCGCGGCATGCACGTGGCCTTCGCGATGACGGGCAATCGCGTGGAGAAGACCTTGAGGAAGGCTGGACTGAAGAAGTTCATCGGAGCCCGGACCGCACGAGCGGGTTCGAGCGCATGGATCGAAGCCGACGAGCCGGGTTCGTGGGAGCGGTCACTGGCGGTCACCAACCGATCGATGTGAGACATCATTCAGCCACGGTAGCCTGTATAGCGATTGAATCATACACATACACATGCAATCACATGCATATATTTAAGCATAGTTGTATACACACAGATACACACAGTAAATTATACTATATATCATTACGTGTGATAATGACTTTAGCTCAACCTACTTGGCCTTGCCTGTCTCACTTGGGTAGAATCTGGCTGCAACCTTATCTCAGGAGAGCAGTGGTTCTTCCCCACGGTGGAAGAGGCGGTGCAGTATTGCGTGAAGCATCAACATGCAAGGCCGGGACGTTTGTTCGGTGTTGACCGATATCGCTGCCAGATGGCTCAGATGGCTCTCAGATTCAGATGGCACTCATTCTCCATGAGCCTAGCCAGATTTGAATCAAGGGACTTCGATCTGCGCATCCAGGAGAATGCAGGAGACTTCTGTATATGGATTTCTTCCAGATTCTAGGATCTTCTAACAAGATGTGGTGCGCGGTTCGGGGATCCCCCAGCCTTGGGAGTGCAACAAGCTCCGCGGAAGTTGGGTTAGGCCGCTAGGCCTCTGGTCAGTTGGAAGTTCTGTTCAAACGATCTGGAGTTGCCGATCTTCGTGTTGCTGTCAGGCGACGGCAGAGCGAACGAGAGGAAATGGAGTCTCAGAATCACGCCAAGAGTGACGAGCTCCTTGGCTGGTCGAGCTCTTTGGTGGACCGGTGGATGATGTGTGAAACGTCGTGAAAACAAGGTGTGCCCGAAGCAGGGCAAGAAGCACCACATTTTGTACTTAACATAACATATTCGAAGGCACAGATATACTGTAAGTATAAATCTTGCATAAAGTGGCTAAACTCCCCAGAACCAGTTCCTGTATGTTCCTGTAACAAATGCCGAGTTAGGGGATTTTCCAAAAGGAGGTTCTGTGTGCGTCGTTCGTTTGGCGTCGACAAATAACGCATACTGTAGCGTTCTGAGAAAATCAGGCTCACGTGGGTGTGTTTTTATACTGACACTGCGTGGTGCAAGTAGGCCAATCGGCGAACCACAATAGCAGCGAAAAGAATTTGAATTCTATATAATATATAACAATTCATATGGTAGTCGATCGAAAGGTCGACATAAGGCCTGTGCCACTGAGAGCCTCTTCAAGTTGTCCGGGAAAGTTTTTTTTCTCGAGTTCGCGAACGTTATTGTTATTGTTTTTTTTTTTTTTTTTTTCTGGCGAAAGATTTGCGAAAGAGTCTATTATACTATATATTGTATACATGAAGAGGCGATACCATCATCAGTGATTTCATATGTCACTCACGAGACCCTGGAAAACGGGTCCGGTGTGAAATG